AAAAAAAAAAGAAGGTAGTGAAGTTAAGATTTGAACTTACTGACCATTGAGCAGGCACGTTAAAAAGTCCAAAGAAGCTGCAGATTCAATAAAGAGAATGATAAATGCCTCATATAATGTTATCTTACTTACAGATGTATTACAAAGCATCAAACAACATGAACATAAAATTCCCTAAGTTCAAATTTATAGCTTGTATCTCCACTTTAAGAAAGTCAAAAGCAATTTTTAGTTCCTTAAACTAAATTTATTCCAAAAGTAACCTCTGTAAGAGTAATTACTCGACACACCTCTAACATAAAACACTACTTGAGGTTTAAGATACACATATCATTCACCATTCGATATTTACATGGCATATAAAGTCATGCCTTAGTACTTTCATGAAAAATAAAAAATAGCAACTATAACTTTGCAACAGAATTATGCTATTAAGTCAGAAGCAATACAAACCTGCGAGACTGGACTCCACTAAGACTTGTCTCTATCACGATCATTGAAAATAAGATACCCGAGAAGCCAATTGAACACTGCTCCATGAGAAACTGATCAGGATGAAAAGGATTATGAGCAACCAATAACGCAATAACCAGGTGCAATAGGGCATTGCTTGCTGCCAACAGTATTATTATATAAAGCAAACGTATTGATCCCATAATCCTCTCCAGCTCAGAACCCATGGGAACCATTGCCATCATGTTAAACATAACATGAAGTAGAGAACCATGAAACAGAATAGCGGTGTAAATCCTGTAAACTGCAGATAAAGAAGATCATATTAGTGCCCGAAATATGCATAGATTTTCTTAAAAAGAAAAAAGGGTAGATGATTCAAACACGATTATCATCGGTAAGATGAAGCCTTGATCAACTTCTTCCAATCAAGGTAGGTTATGTTTAATAAACCAATAACAATATAAACATTGCAAGGAAGCAACTATACTTTTCTGCTACTAGTATAGATAAAAAAAAATTAAAAAGAGCAGAAATAAGAAACGGAAAATGTAAAAAAGAAACATGAGCCCAACATATGTGTTGCTCTCGGATAAATTGAATGATCAGCTGTAACATTACAAATTGAACAAAGATTCAAACAAACTAGATCTACCGAAAAAGAAAACTCGTATCCATTAAAAAACTCTACACACTGAGTTCCTACAAAGTTGAAAAGGTTTGGAAGATTTTACTGGATCAAAATTAAACCTAAATCATCTCCCAGAAAAGAAAAACAAATTACCTTGAAAATGGGAAACAACAGCCGACGGCAAGAAGCATATTTCGACAAACGAGTCATAACCAGCCAACAGGCAGACAAGATAAATGATGCCACAAACCACCATAACTGCCGATGTGAGAAAAGGTATGCCTTCCCACCATTGTTTCAGCCTAGTCTGCAATCCTGCCTATACAAACATATGCACAATACTCGAAAAATCAAATTCCAATCAAACCCCTTTTACCACATAGAAACAATGATTAACAGTTCAACACAATGCCAATCTTTACATAATCGACATTCTGACACACGATCACACAAATTGAACGAACAACCACTACCAGTTTGCCTTAACTACAGTATTTCAGAATAGCATAGTTACCAAAGCAAACGACTGAAATGGCCCAATAATAAATAGCTCTAAAAGATTCAATCTTTTTTGTCCCTCTCTCAAATGTAGCTGTACAGCACAAGTATCCCATCACTAACAAGAGAAAATAAGAATGTGGGCTCACTCAAAAACCCCCTGAAACTTTAGAAAACCCTAGGCAAAACCATTGTCAAGCATATACACGTGTATGCATAGATGGTTGTGTGAAGATTATGCAATTCATGGAAGATCGAAGGTGAGAAGAAAAAGGGTTTGAAGTACCTCGGATACAATGTTGGATCTCATCTCGCTGCGAAGAAATCTAGGAGAATTTTGAGCTCCAGCGGGCTTCTCAGTGGGGAAGCTCAGTTCTTTTTGAGCGAGACGTTTGGTTGAAGTTTTGATCGGGTCAAGTACTCCGGTACTTAGGTTCGGGTATATCAAAGAATATTTTTGACCTTATCATATATTCTTTTTTTTCATATTTATTTATGTTCTTTTTAAAATTTTTGTCTCTATATTAATTCAAAACGTGTTGGGCGAGTCTAAGTGGCAGATTCTTATGCATTATTGGGATCTTATGTGGCAAAATTACATGTTATTAGCCTTGACTGTAGATTTTAATTTACTTCCAATCCAAAAATAATTTGGTCCGGATTATCCATAAATATGCTGATTATTTATGGTAATGTTACATGTACTAATGGTATTTTAATATTATTTCTTATTATAACCATTGAATTGTAAACGTATAATAAAAAAGTTAGTAACCTTTGTATTTTTTATCAGTTTTACATATATAATATATCAAATTAATCATCTCTTGATGATGTTCGATTTAACATCTATATTGTATGTATAAATAAAAATAAATTATACTTTATAGCAATAATAAAATTGTTTTTTAATATTAATTAGAAAAATAAAATTATTTATCTATTAATATATTTATATATAAAAATTACTATAAGTAATAAATTTAAGCCGCACAAGTAACAAATGTTATTCTAAAATATATAATAATATATATTTTTGGTAAACAAAGTAAATAAAATTTAAAATAATACTTCTCATTAATTTTAAAATTTCTGAATAATTTTTCAACAAATACCCGGTAATACACGGGTGTTGTACTAATATGACATTTAAGTTTAAAAGTATATACTTTCTGACATTTTAGTTATGTATATTAACACATCTACTCTTTTATTTAGTGATTTATTAAAAGTAGAAATATTTGATGTGACAATATTGTATACATGTCATCTTTTATGAAATCATTTTTTATCTATGCACGTTACATAATGAGTGAAATCTGTAAATTTGTTCCAAGGAACACCTTTTCCTTGTTTATTTTCAATTCTTTTTTAATAGAAAGCAATAAAATAAAATATAAATGAAGAAGAAAAACATCCCACAAAGAATTGGGAAAACCTGTAAGGATGCCAAGAAAGAACTGAAAGATTTTTCATAAAATACCTCAATCAATCAATCAATCAATCCTGAAGTAATATACATTTACCCAGACTCGTCCCACGAGCATTCAGCCGCGATCCCAACACCAAACGAATTCACATTCACCGGTTAAAAACAAAGATAACGAACTCACACGAATTTGGGGGTTAAAAACCCCTAATCCCAAACAAACAAACAAGTAAAAAATGAACCGGTCCTCAATTCATATAGTAGTAGTTCATAGAAATGAGAGATCATTTGTTTCCATGTAACTTTTGCTTTTCCATTTTTTTAATATACATTACACGTTCGGATAGAAAGAGAACTCAAGCCCCGTTCTTGTTCTGCCATGGCTTGAGCACACCAACCACGATTATTGCCACAATAATGAGAAGGATGATGATTGCAATACACATCCATTTTCTCGAGTTTTTCTGCAGGCTTTTTGCTTTCTGAAGTGCAGTGTTGCCCGACTGCACGTGGTCCACTGCAGACGAAACCTGCGTAAAAAAATAAAATAAAATTTAACGCAAAACAAAATTATATTGAATTATGCAAATAGGTTGGAAGCTTCTTTACCTGCGACTCGATGTTATCGAGCATGTCTCCTTGAGCATCCACCAGCACAGCCATGTCCAGGAATATCTGCTCACGAGAAGAAGAAAAATAAACAAAATTCATCTTTATTAAGATTCTAATGATCTCATATGATGAATTGATCAGTATTTTACTTCAGCAAATTCGAAAAAATTGCTGGATTATTATACTATGATTAGGCCGTGTTAAATTTAAATTTTTAAGGTGTCCCACAAGGTGGAAATAACACCCAATAAAATTGTCAGCTAAAAAGCACCTGTTGCAAATCTAGAAGCTTCTTCTCTAAATCTCTCACGGCATCGTGTCGCTCTTGAATTTCCGCTAAGGTGTCCATTACCTGTAACACAAATATATATATATATATATATATATATATATATATATATATATGAGCTATATTTTAATCGTGCAGGACAAAAAAAAAAAAAAAAGTTTGCTGGCCTTGGATTTACAGCAGAATTAAACCAAAATATAGAAAAATACCTGGCCTCGGCCTTGTTCTCTAATAGCTTTTTGGAAAATCTGCTCACTATCCCCAGTCTCTATTAATTTATCAATTGTCTGGGTACAAATGGTTCGGGTAAATGAACAATATATACAAAATGACAAGATTATATAAAAAAACATAAAAAAGAAATTGGCTTCACCTCTTCATCAGCTCGAGTGCCCGTCACTGAAAAACCACATCAAACAGGATAACGTCAAAATTAGTAAAAAAATAAATTACTCTAAATAAAGCTGCTTGCAAGAAGTGATAAATGATCTGTTCCCCAAATAAAGCTTTGACACCTGTGAATACACGTCTTTCTACAACTTCACGATATTCTTGGTGTATATTCTCTCTCAAAGTCTACAAAAACATTTATAAAAAAAATTAATGAACTGGGATGTGAAAGGAAGTGAAAATTTAAAAACAGTGTATAGAAAATGAGGCTAATCTACCTGAAATTCAGCCATTCTATCTTTGAACTTCTTTTTGAAAGCTCTGCATTCAAACACAAGAAATTATAAAAAAAAAAGGAAAAAGAAAAAAAAAGATATCCTGTTCTTTTTTCATTACATCCAATCAACGGCTTTGGGATAATAATGTAAACTGGAATAACACACCGGTAATTATAAAATGAAAGTAGCTATTAAGAAGAAAAGGGGCAGTAAATTACACTGTTGTTGATGTTCTTGATCTGTCTACGCCCGATCCTTTTCCGCACCCAGGTTTTTGTCTATTGGCTAAATTCTAGAACCATTAAAAGACAAATATCAGTAAGAAGAACTTTGTGAAGTCGAATCACAATTGAGAAAAGCTACATATTCCGGTACCTCTTTGTCGAGTTCCTCAATTTTTGATTTAATAGAACGAGCAATTTTCCCAACTTCGTCAACATCCTTCTCCATCCGTTTCTTGATTGCTACCGTGTTACAAGATTAAAAGAAAAAAGTTATAATAACCGGAAATCCATGTATGAACTAAGAAGAAAAACAAAAAGGTGAATGCATAAGCGAAGAAAGATGTGAAATCTAATACAAAATCGCCTTAGGCAAGTTTATTAATATTGCCTCAAGGACTGAGTTTCTTTCTCGATGGACAAACACCAACAAAATGGAAATAAAAATCTACCTTTCATATTAGCAGCTTTTGTCACAGCTTTTGATTCCTCGTGAGCATCCTGTAGTTGAAAGATGATAAACATTATAGACAAATTATCCAACGGACATTAACCCTTTTGCTTGAACAGTAACATAGATATGACTGTATGTATTACTATTGTGTAAAAATTGCAGTCCCTAACTAAATAGTATTGTTATAGAGCTTCATGAACAATGAAGAACCAGAACACCAAAAAGAATTTTGTGAAATCATGTTGATTCATAAAAATATTAGCTCAGAAAGAGAAGCTTACAAAAAACATTTTTCACGGAATACGTGAAGTTGGAGATTCTAAAATAAACGGGATTTATATTTAATTAACACAATAAGGAAAACTGGAAATTACATAATGCAGTATGTATGCTTTTTAAAGAAGTGGGAGATTACAGTACAAAAATATAAATAAATATACAAGTTAAATAAAATAAATTCCAATGCCAACAACCCTGCTTCTCCAGAAGGAGTTCATCAGTCTGTTTTATTCCATAGAACTCAGAGTCTCATACAAACACAAACAGGTTACGGAATGACAAATTCATGCATACTCATGATCTACACGCATACCAATGTGAAGAATGAAAAGAAACGAAAAGAGCAGAGAAAGGATGAAAGCACAAACCTGGAGCTTTCTCAGTAGGATATTAAGTTTTTCATATTGCTTCTCAATCTCCTGAACCTAGAAAAAACAGAAGGCTAGTCAGGCATTATTCGTCATCTTTTTATCACTGAACGAAATAAATGTCCAATATAATAACTCTTTTCAAGATATAAGGGGGAATGTAATGCTAGCCACCTTCTTAAAGAAATTCTCCAAGCCAAGATCTTCTGAATTCGTTTGCCTCTCCATTCCCATTTCAATATCACCATTTCTATTAACTTCATCACGTGGGTTCACGAAGGAATCCTGCACATTAGACAGGATGTTGAGAAACAAAACAGTAGAGCATTTCTAGTAAATAAGCATACAGCATAAACAAAAACTGTAGACATGCCAACAGCTCATGATAAAGTGATTCCCTTACAATACAGATGCTTGAACAGAGATTACAAAACTTTATCACAAGAGATTGTGTACAAGTAATCATGTACAAGAGATTGAGCACGAACAGCACTTTGGGAAGCCAACTAAAAGTACTGGAGATTAAGCATTGTAAGGATAGACTTCGTTGCAACAAATTGTTGTAATCTTCAATATTTGATAACACATTCAGATACGCATAAAAAAAAAGACGTTATCAATGCTTGAATGATAACAGATTTAACGAGGCATGTGCACTGGATATTAAAAGGGTTTGTAAATGTTCGAAATTTATATGCCGGCGAGCTTAGCAGTTTTTCCTCTTATTCAGCAAGCTGTTCCTTGTCTTTCTCAACCAATCAACCATCCAATTACTCTAGATTCAGCAAGCAATATGCGTTAAAATGGCAAAGTCCTATTGGTTCTAGTAAGTTGAACATTTGACGTTCTAGAAGCCTGTTGAAAAAGGCTTAATCTTGATGCTGAAGATGGGCATTAACTAAGGGAAACAAACGCATTTTTCTTTTCAAATGAATAGTAGATTTCAAATGAACATGGTTCTAAACTATAACAACTCTGACACTT